TTATACACGGAATTTAATTGAGGCACCATTTCGAGTGTATTTGGCTCTTCCAGTCTTGTATGTGAACCAGTTCCTCCCAAAACTGATGGAGCTGCCTTATTGCGAAAGAAAAATCACATATAAACTAGATCGGGGTCGAAAAGGTATTTTATATTTGCTTTTTCTTTTTGCTTTAAAACATTGTTTTCACTCATGAATTTCAAATTTTAAATTTGAAAATTAGAAAAACACTACTCTATGAGATTCCAGTCCCATGTTAATTGGAGAGAAGAACTGGTGTGAAAACTTTTCCCGAACCGACAAGTTTTAAAGGGAAAGTCTGAAAGGGAAATCACAATATCTGTCAGCAGTGAGCTTGGGTTGTTACAATGGTATCAGAACCAGACGCTAGCGATGTGCCAGCAAAGAGGTTGTTCCCCGAAGACACCAAGCGATGTGCCAGTGAGGAGGCTGTTCCCTGAAGGGGTAGACACGAGGCAGTGTGCCAGTAAGGACGTTAGGCCCTGAAAGGGGGTGGATTTGGTGGGGGTCCGTCCCTGAAGGAGGATGAATTTGGTGGGAGTCCTACATCGATCGGAGAAATGAACCAGTGTCAGTGAAGACGCTCGGTCCTGAAGGGATGGATTGTGAGATCCCACAATTCTACATTGATAAACATTGTGGAAAGGTTTCCCCAGCAGACACGTTTTAAAACTTTGAGGGAAACTCCGAAAAGCATTAGGATCCCGATTCATGGTTCTTTTAGTTCAAAAAAATCAAAATAAGATAATCGAATCGAATTGAATCATTTCTTCTTACCCTTTTTCACATTTACAGATCTTATTCAAGAGCTATTGAACAAGTTCCCTAACATTCTAATAGAACCAGACAGTCACGGATGGCTGCCTCTTCACTATGCGGCCAACCTCGGGTCCGAGGAAGTGGTGGAACTAATACTAAAACACGAACCATCCTTAGCTTACACAAAAGACAACAATGGCGTGTCGGCCCTGCACTTAGCAGGTAAAGAAGGCCGCGTTGCCGTCCTCAAAACCTTCGCGAAGCTCTGTCCTGACAGCTGCGAGCTATCGGATTCGAGGGACAGAACAGCTCTTCATTTCGCTGTCGCCAACCGACAGGCCTACGCGGTTCGAAAGATGTTGGATTTGGCAAGCTTTCGGAACCTTGTGAACCAACAGGACATTGATGGCAACACACCCTTGCATGTTGCTGCCATTTCTGGTGACTTTGTTACACTTATGATGTTGGCTTCCCATCCGAGAGTTCATAAGAAGATTATGAACAAGGCTGGTTTCACTACCAATGACATTGTTCGATCCAGTCTCAACTTTAGTTGGTATCAAAAGGTACGATTTAAATTCATGTTTGAACCCGTCCCAAGGTAAAGAAGATTTTTTTTTTTCCTTTCTATTATGAAATTTGATTTAAGATATAAAGAAATTTGTGAAATATATTTTGTTGTATAAGTGTGAGATCTCACATCGCTATTGTAGAAGAGAACGAGACACCTTTATAAGGGTGTGAAAACCTCTCCCTAACCGACGTACTTTAGAAATATTGAGAAGAAGTCCGAAAAGAAAACCCTAAAGAGGACAATATCTCCGACTGCCGTGTTTGGGCTATTACAAATAGTATCACGTTTGGATTGTTACAAATGGTATTAGAGCCAGACACGGAACGATGTGCTAGTGAGGAGGCTGAGTCCTGAAGGAAGGTGGACATAAGGCAATGTGCCAATAAGAACGCTAGGCCGGGTGGATTTGGTGGGGGTCCCACAATAATTGGAGAAAGTAATCAGTCTAGGAAGGAGTGGATTTGGTGGGGTCCCACATTAATTAGAGAAAGAAACAAGTCCTTAGGGGTGGACTTGGTGGAGGTCCCACATCAATTGTAGACCGGATGAGTCCGGAAATGAGTAGATTTTGTGAGGTCCCACATTAATTGAAGATAGGAACAAGTGCCAGAAAGGTCGCTGGGCCTGAATGGGGTGGATTGTGAGATCTAACATCGGTTAAGGAGGAAAAGGAAACCTCCTTTATAAGGGTGTGGAAACTTCTCTCTATCAGACGCGTTTTAAAAACCTTGACGGGAAGCTCTAAAGGGAAAGCCCAAAAACCCAACCGATACGTTTTAAAAACCTTGAGGGGAAGCTATAGATGGAAAAGCCAAAGAGACTCCAGTGGACTTGGACCATGACAATTGATAACTTGTGAGCTCGAACCATTACGGTTGATAACTTATATTCTATTTAAACGTTATGAAGATGGTACTTTTTAATTCCACGTTTGTTTCTCATTCCTAACCCTTTCTCTAAAACATGCATGCAGTCTTTCAGCGTAGCACGCTTGGAGTTCAATGGAGCTGTACGAGGCATGCAACAAGTGCTAGCCAGGAAACCCAGAGCCAATTTGTTGCTTGAAGCAGGCGAACCAAAACCAATTGTCACAGAACAAGAAACCAGTGGAGCCAACATTGACAAACCCAGTACACAACAGAAGAAATCCCATATATGGAGCCAAGTGTCGGACGCCAATCTTGTCGTGGCGACGATTATCGCCACGGTAACCTTCAGCGCTGCGTTTCAGGTTCCCGGCGGATACAACAACAACGGTATAGCGACACTACGAAGGGCAAAACAATTTAGATTATATATGACATTTGATGCTTTATCTTTTGGGTTTGCGGCGGCATCCATGTTCGTTACGTTCTTTACGGGGTTGTTCGGGGTCGATGCCGGGTTCACTTACCCGAGAAAATGGGTGACATTCTTAACAGGGCTGTCTCTGTGGTTTATGGTGTTTGCATTCATGATGGGGACGAGTGTAGCTATGGATGAACACTCGAAGCTCGGAGGTCAGGCTCGGGTTCTGCCTTGTATTTCCTTTATTTCACCGGTGTTTTTCTTAGGGGTTTTGGCGGTCAACTGGTTTACTTATTTTCCTTGACGAGTGAGTATATATGAGAGCGGGTACATGAATCAACCGAGAGTATATGAAAGCGATCTTGTAATAGTCTAAATTATAATGAAAATAAATAAATAAAAGAAAATATACTTGTTTGTGAAATTTAGATCTTATTTTAAAGAAAATGTTTTGAGTTTTTTTTTAGAAATTTTCTCGACCGAATTTGGGAGACAGTATGTTATGCCTAGCCTATGTTGTGGGTCCACATAGATTGATTTGGATTGCAAGAGATAGTTTACGACTAGCACCGAGTATAAATTAGTAACTTCAGCTAAGGCTAACTAAGTAAATGACTCCATTTTTTGCTTAGTTAAAAGAATTGATTTACGTACGATGACACGTGTCCCATGTCCCATAGGCTCGGCACGTGTCACTTAAATGTTCCTATAACGATTCATCCAAGCTTTCTTTTCCAACATTAAGCCTCCAATTCCACCTCTTACATCCTCCTCTTTTATAATAGGTCATATGTTTCATCGAAGGAAAAGATGTGCAAAGCATTACCTAATTATTGAAGCTCTTTAAGCTTATGGGTAGGGTCGTATGCCAAACAAGAATAGCCTACTTTATAGACCTTTTTAGCTCTAACTCTTGACGCCCGAGTTGACTTTCCTAGCCTTAGGGCCTCTTTCTCGCACCCTACTCATCTCCCGACATTTAAAAAACTACACTATTTATGTATTTTTTGACGTGATTCGATAGAGCTCTTCAAGTTAGAGCTCTCGTACTTAAAACCTTAAAAGGGCAGTTGCCCTAACTGATCCACATCTTCATGGACGTTAGGACCACCTACGGGAGTATCTAAAAGATTTTTATGGAATGTCTTATTTTTACTCAAACTTTCCGATCAACCAATCTCCTTAGGACATCTTTATTTTAGGTAGGATAAGGCTAATTTATACGTTCAAAAATTGGAATGTACGACGATATATAATCTTTATATATAATATTTAATCTTAATTTATTAATAAAAAAAATAAAATATGATAAGTTTAGACCAATTTATTTATTTTGTTATTTGTGAAATAGCATTTCTTAATTAATTAAACAAAAAAAATGATAAAATCTGTAAAAGGAATTATATTATTGAGGCATTAAATAAAAGATTTAAAAAGTCATTTTCAACGGTCAACTCATTAGGGCAGCCAGGGGACTGGGCGGCCACGACTGCCCACGTTTGAATTCCAATTCTTAACTTACCCGCTTTTCACTTTACTAATTCCCACCGACGTTCTCATTGGCTGCAACTTCTAACCCAAACAAATCCCTATTCTCTTTACAACTAAACCTTTACGCTCATTGGACGGTGACGTCAACGTCACCTATTATATTATATTATATTTTTTATTTTTTAGTTTAACATAATTGCACCACTAAAATATAATTCAATTTATTAAAATATATATAATCGAATAAGACATTTTTTTTTAATTCAACACGAGAGTAAGGAATAAATTTACGTAAAATGTTATTATCCATAGATTTATGAGATTTTTCTTGAGAAAACCGTCTAGCTTTATTGTGAGAAGATATAACAGTTCAAGTTTATCACTAGTAGATATTGTCCGCTTTTGCCCGTTACATATCATTGTCAATCTTAAGATTTTAAAACGCATCTGTCAATTAGAGATTTCTGTTGGACGATGAAAGTCCCACATCGGATAATTTAGAAAATGATCATGGATTTATAAACAAAGTTGACAATATCATACTATTGTGGACATTTGTATTCGTTTCACAAGAAGAACGAGACGAAACTAAACAAAGAAATTATATATATATGAAATCATAAAAAATAATAATAATAATAAGGGCGAAATTGCAAAATTACAAATATTTAGAAGATAGAAAAGAAGAGGAGTAAAAAACTGATGGAGAGGAAAGGGAGAGGGAAGATTGAAGAACAGAGAGAAGAAAAGAAAACGGTGAAATAACTGCGGCTAAAATTTCAACGATTCTCTCTGCTGTTCTTCCTAGAAATTTTAAAATGTATTTTTCTTTTTCTTTTTCTTTTTCATTTCTCTGTGGGATTAAGTTTTGGTCCATCGACGTCGTTTTTTTTGGTTTTCCCCTTTTAATCTGCAGCCGACTTTTTGGGCTGGTCGGCGTGCATTTCCATTTCCAACTTCTTTCCCCTTCCCTCTCTTCCATTTTCTTAATCCCAAAAATAAAATGTAAATTATTGCGTCCCCGATTGGTTGGATTGTTCAACCTTTTTGGTGGGCCTTTTGTTTTTAATCAGATTATACAAATAAACTGTTTCTGGGTTTTGTTCTTTACTTTCTTCTCTCTATTGGGATCCCCATCATCTTTGCATCTCTCAATTTCTTGAAATTTTTATCGGTAATTTTCGTTCTCTCAATCTGATTCTATTGTTATTGTTCATGATTCTGCTATGCTCATGGGGGTTCTGATCGTTGAGTTTTTTTGTTCTGTTTTGATGCGTTTCTTTCTTGATTTTGGCTCTGCTTATTGATCTGTTGAATTTTCGTTTCATAATTTGTTTTATGCTGCTTTTTGATCGGATTATCTCTAATCTGAAGTCGGTTTGGGCTGAAATTTCTGTATGAGTTGAATGATTTGTGAATTTATGAATTGGGTTGACTCCATTGGTTGATCTCATATCAGGATTTAATAGCTTTTCCATTTGGTTGGTTCTTCTAATTCTTTGAACTTTTGACCAATCTGCCTCTGATTCAATGTGTTTATGAGAGGAGGGTTGTTTTCTTCATAATCTTGGTGTTTTTCTCTCTTTTTATGCACTTTTTGTTAACAATTCTGTGTTTTCCCACAGTTGATGCTTGATTGAGTTTCATTTTGGACAACTTTGGAGGATTAATTTATCCTATGAGCTTGGTTTTGTTGGGACATTGGCTGTAATGGGAACTTTATCTGTTGAAGCTTGTACTGGAGGAAGTCTTAGAACTTATTTGTTATCCGCTGTTTCTGAATGCCTACTGATTTGTATGCTGTTTTTGCACTCCATATTCTCATTCTTTATCACAAAATGTGCTCGGTTATGGAAACTGCGCATCCCGTGCTTGCTATGTTCGAGACTCGATCATGTTTTCGGCTCTGAGAAAAAGGGTTACCTTTGGACATTGATTTGTGGCAAACATAAGTTGGAGGTTTCATCTTTGGTTCTTTGTCACGCTCATAACAAGCTTGTGAATGTTCATGAAATGTGTGAAAACTGCCTCTTTTCATTTGCAACGATCAATAAGTTGAATTCTGAGACTTACAGATTATTGGTTGGTAAGCTGGGGGAGGATCCTCATTTTGGTATTGACAGTGACCCTTCGCTTGGGGATCAAAAACATTGTTCGTGTTGTGAGGAGTCGTACATCCCAAGAGGGTTTGTTCAAACGTTAATACAGACCAGATCGAGCGGATTGAAGGTTGAGGATCTCAATGTTCCCTTGTCGAGTTCTATTGTTCCTTGTAAAGTAGATGTCCAAGGGTCGTGTTGTGAGGAGTCATATGTCCCAAGAGGGTTTGTTCAAACGTCAATCCAGACCAGATCGAGCGGATTGAAGGCCGAGGATCTCGATGTTCCTTTGTCGAGTTCGATTGTTCCTTGTAAGGTAGATATCCAAGGGCCTCCAAGCAATCCTTTACCTCATGTTCAATACAAAGAGCTGAATATTACTTCAGACACAGAATCTGATGGAAATGGAGGCACTTTGGTGGTTGAAACAGCCAATTCTAAGGATGATCTCGCCCTTCAAGATGATAATATGGAGGCTAACTTCAGTTCTCTGGCTAGTAATTTAACCTCGACGACGTTAGTCGAGCCAGCTTTGGCACCTGAACCATTGGTCTTATTAGGCGACGCTGCACTGCCTCGTGTAGAACGTGGTGTCTCGATCGGGCACGGTTTGGATGAATCGACTCCAAAGCACGTCGAAGCTAATGACGGTTTCTCTTCACCAAATGATCTCCTTTCCCTTGACAATATGGTTCCTTCTTCAAACACAATAGTAACTTCTGTTGAAGCTGTAGAAGAAAGCTGTGAGTTCTTTACCCTCTTAGTTCTAGTTCTAGAATTTCGCTTGCTTCATGAACTCGCATGGACTCGGGATAACTAGGCAATATCACTGATGCAAATTGATGATATATTATGTAATGCATATTATGCAAAGATTACGAATACGAGTATAGGCTGCATCCAATCCGTCTCGTTGATTTTAGGCCAATGCAACCAGATGAAGTTCTTTGTGATTATCACTAATGTATGTGTTTTTGATCATTGTAGATGTTACTAGAAGTGAAGAACACGAAACGAAAAGCAGGGGAACGGAGAAAGCGGAAATATCGCCAACGAAAGCAACGTCTGAAGAAGATACCGAAACTCAACCTGTTTCGAGTGACACTGCTCAGATGGCACCCAATACATTGGAGCTTGGTGATGCTTATAAGATAGCTGTAGGTGCTAGAGCAGGAAGACAATTGTCTGGTAAGCTTTCGGAACAATGGATTGAGAAGGATTCGTCAAAAGTTAGCGACGATCTGAAGCTTCTCATGACACAACTCTCGTTTAATCGGACGACCGACCAATCACGGGAAATGAGTCCAAGGTTGTCCATAAATGGGGATGATGTCTCAAACATCGTTGGGATGCAGATACCACAAAAAAGGATATCACTTGAAAGAAACGAGTCGAGCTTAGACTCTCTAGATGGAAGCATTGTGAGTGAAATCGAAGGCGAAAACGTGGTTGATCGGTTGAAACGACAGGTCGAGTATGATAAGAAGCTTATGATTTCATTATACAAGGAATTGGAGGAAGAAAGAAATGCATCTGCAATTGCTGCAAATCAAGCCATGGCTATGATTACTAGACTACAAGAGGAGAAGGCTAATCTTCACATGGAGGCATTGCAGTGTTTAAGGATGATGGAAGAACAAAGTGAGTATGATGATGATGCCTTACAGAAGGCGAATGATCTCATTACAGAGAAGGACAAGGAGATACAAGATCTCGAAGCCGAACTCGAATTTTTTCGGATTAATTTTCCTAATGCATATACAATAGATAATCTAATCGAGATGTCTGTGAAGGAAAGAGATATCGGGGTCGTTCATTTAGAGTCGAATCAGCTCGGAACAATTGGTTATGGAAATCTGGTTGTAGGTAAACCCGATATCCACGAGAAAGTTGGAAGCGAAGGCGGTACGTTTAACAATTTATTGTCAGAGTTCGAGGACGAAAAGATAAACATCTTGCAATGCCTTCAGAAGTTGGAGAATATGATCCATTTGTTTTCAATCAATGGGGTCAAGATGGATCTTAGCAATGGTGAATATCTTGGGACAGATGATCTTAAACTCGAAAATGGGGAAGATCATGCCAAAGACGATGACGATGACAATGACAATGACGATTGTCTTCCCTCACTTGCAAATCCTCCATTTGATAAAGAAAGTAACGAACTCGATCGTAGTGATAGGAATTCGTCGTCGAATACCGAAAGGGAAGATTTCGCGTTTCTAAGAATCGAGGTGTCGAAGCTTAACAAAAGGATGGAAGTGCTCGAAGCCGACAAGAACATTCTTGAGCATACGATCAATTCACTCATAAGGGGAGAGGAGGGGCTTCAGTTTGTTCGAGAGATCGCTTCCCTTTTACGAGAACTCCGAAAAATCGGGTTAAGAAGTTGATGGATGGCCTGGTGATATGGTTCAAAGAAGCCAACCATTAAGAAGTAAGTGAGTTTTACCATCCCAAAATGATTTTAAAAGATTATATGCTCGTTCTTTGTACCGTGTCGTTTTGATATTGACGAAGGGTTGTGTTACATCCAGGGAGAGACGAGGGCGACGTCGACTTCGACCGAGCAAGGTTAGAATTGAGAAAACTGTACAGTTCCAATAGCTTGTTTTCTCGAAAGATATGAAGAATATAAAGGATGGTTTAGGATTATTTTAACTCTTACCAATACCAATAATTTTGATATTATAGGAAAGTTCATTCCTTGGTTTGTGGTTTGTGGTTTGAATTGATGAGTTGAGTTGTTTATTAGTTTGTTGTTGATCTTCTTTCTTCTCTTTTGCAGTTCTTCTTTTTGTTTCCCATTTTTTTGGAGTGGATTGAGTGATTTGTTAAGGTGTGAATATTTGTAACAGTTGTTGTGATCATTGTATTGGTTGATGATCCCTATGATTAATGAAAAGCCTTTTTGCTTTCCCTCTTTCTTTGTTTGCAACTTTCTAATAGCTTTTGTGCAAGGTGCAACATTAGGGTGATCAGGTGATATATTGTAAGATTCCATGTCGATTGGAGAGAGGAACGAGTACGAGCTGAGATCCCACATCGATCAGAGAGAGGAACTAGTGTCTGCGAGGACACTGGGCCTTAAAGGAAGTGGATTGTGAGATCCTACGTCGATTGGAGAGAGGAACAAGTGGTAGCTGAGATCCCACATCGAAAGGAGGTGAATTGTGAGATTCCACATCGGTTGGAGAGGAGAACTAAACATTATTTATAAGAGTGTAGAAATCTCTAGATTTCGAAGGGGTAGATTGCGAGATCCCACATCTGTTGGAGATGTGTTGGAGAGGGGAACAGAACATTTTTTATTAGAGTGTGAAAACTAGGGGTGTAAATTCAACCCGACAACCCAACAACCCGGACCAACCCAACCCGAACTATAAGGGTTGGGTTGGGTTGGATCAACATTTCAGGTAGGGTTGGGTTCATTTTTCTGAACCCGAACTAAATTGGTTTGGTTTTGGGTTCATGGCCAAAGTGGTACTGAGGTGGTGTTCAAGAATATTTAGCAAGGATATTTAGGTCGAATTTTTAAATTCTGTGTTTTATTATTTTATTTATATTATTTTATTATTTTTAAAAATATATTGTTTATTATATAACAAAAAGTTTATTAATTATGATTTATACTGTTATTTTTATTTTTCTTTAACGGTTTAGGAGGTAAAGAATATTTCAATTAAAATATTTTTATATATTTTTTATTTTTGTTATATACCATATGAATTTTATTGTTTATTTAATTTGATGATCTTTGTATTTTTTTTTGGTACTCTAACCAAAAAAAATTATAATAATGTTAAATTACCATTTTTTTTTTGTCAATAATTAATATATTTTATCTAGATTTGTATCCGAATAATTATAAATGGCAGATAAATAAAAAAAAATTTTAAAAATTGACGACCCAACCCGAACCCAACCCGAAAATAGAGAGTTGGGTTGTGAAAAGTTTCGGGTTGAGTTGGGTCACCAATCCAACCAACCCGAACTTTTGGGTTGGGTCAAAAAAAATCTCCCAACCCGACCCAACCCAGACCATGTACACTCCTAGTAAAAATCCCTCTCTAGTAGACACGTTTTAAAAACTTTGAGGAGAAGTCCGAAAAAGAAAGCCCAAAGAGGACAATACCTCCTAATGATGGGCTTGGGCAGTTACCATAATAGTGTAGGATGTTTGGGGATACTCTTCACAATTTCGGGTCCGAGTCATGTATGGAAAACTTAAATTAAAAATCCTTGTTATATCTTGGTTTTTCCATGTCGTTAGCATGATAAAATTGATAACTGAGGAGGAACCTATTAGCGATCGGTAAAATTTTGAAACTTATTTAACCTTTTTTTTTTTTTTTACAAACCCACAAAAAAGGTCAAACCTAATTGTAATAACTGTAGAAAGAGTTGAATATAAGTTTATAAATATTAAATTAAATGAAAGAAAAGTTTGTCAACGAAGGGCTCATTTTAAGGTTGAATAATATTAAAACCAACAAATGGTGTTGGGATCCATCATCACCAACACTCGTTGAATTTACAAATTCTATGAGACCATTTCTTGTTCATCTTTGACCATATTATAACCTATTTAAATTTTAGATATATTACACGTTTAGTCTCTAAATTTTTACGTTTGCATGATTTTTTGTCCCTAAACTTTTATAATTATCAAATAAATCGTTAAACTTTTAATTTTGTATCTGGTAGATCCATGAATTTAAATAAATCTGGCTTAAAACTTTCAATTTTGTGTTAAATAGTTCTTGACCTACTCGAAAATGAAAAATTTATAACTCTATTAGAAATAAAATTCATATTAATATCTAATAAATCAAATTATTTTTTAGATAATTGAGCATACAAAAAATTTACATGATATTTTTTTAAGAAGCATGTGAGAAAGAACAAAGTCAATGTTGATTCGTAGAGACAAGTTTTATTCCCAAACACAGCTTAGAACATTCAATAACGTGTCTAAGTTACAAGTGATGTAATAGTCCAAGCCTACCGGCTAGTAGATATGGTCCATTTTGGCTCATTGCATATCTTCATCAACCTCATGATTTTAAAACGTGTCTACTAGAGAGAGGTTTCCACGCGCTAATAAAAAATACCATGTTCCCCTCTCTAACTTATGCAGGATCTCACAAGTGATGTAAAAACGAGATATCAAGTCAATTATATATCGAATCTTAGTCCGAAATACGAGTTAGAGACATTCATACTAGGGTTTTGTTTTGTTTTTTTTTTAGATTTGACTTTTTTGAAGCCTAACTAGTAAGGTTTTCCATTGGCTTGTTGAGTTCCATAATTTAGACAAAAAGTAAGAAAAAGGGGTGGACGGTTCAAAAAGAAACTATAAAGGTTGCTAACCAAACCCAATTTATATTATATTCAAACTTTGGTCAGCCTTTCATTATTTTATTTAGAGTTTTATTTTGAGGGAGAATATCTAAGAAATTACATTCTCTTTACAACTATTCTTCTTTGTTTTATATATATATATATATATACACATACGGTGAGATCCCACATCGATTAAAGAGGGAAACGAAACATTTCTTATAAGGGTGTGTAATCCTCTCCCTAATAGACATGTTTGAAAACTTTGAGAAAAAGCCCATAGAGAACAATATCGGCTAGTGGTAGGCTTGAGCTGTTACACACATGCATACATAATGGCTCATTGCTCCAGCTTTCTTATACGACACAATCACGTTACCTATTTGTCACTTAGAGTGAAAACAACAATCCATTCTAACATGTTTTGTTCTTACTCACATGTTTCTTAGGGATTTCCTAGGATTCATCCCACTAGAAACTAAAAAAAAAAAAAAAAAAAA